ACTGTAGAGTGAGTATACTTCAATATAGAGAGCTTGGCATATGGACTGGTAGAGTGAGTATACTTCAATATAGAGAGCTTGGCATATGGACTGGTAGAGTGAGTATACTTCAATATAGAGAGCTTGGCATATGGACTGGTAGAGTGAGTATACTTCAATATAGAGAGCTTGGCATATGGACTGGTAGAGTGAGTATACTTCAATATAGAGAGCTTGGCATATGGACTGGTAGAGTGAGTATACTTCAATATAGAGAGCTTGGCATATGGACTGGTAGAGTGAGTATACTTCAATATAGAGAGCTTGGCATATGGACTGGTAGAGTGAGTATACTTCAATATAGAGAGCTTGGCATATGGACTGGTAGAGTGAGTATACTTCAATATAGAGAGCTTGGCATATGGACTGGTAGAGTGAGTATACTTCAATATAGAGAGCTTGGCATATGGACTGGTAGAGTGAGTATACTTCAATATAGAGAGCTTGGCATATGGACTGGTAGAGTGAGTATACTTCAATATAGAGAGCTTGGCATATGGACTGGTAGAGTGAGTATACTTCAATATAGAGAGCTTGGCATATGGACTGGTAGAGTGAGTATACTTCAATATAGAGAGCTTGGCATATGGACTGGTAGAGTGAGTATACTTCAATATAGAGAGCTTGGCATATGGACTGGTAGAGTGAGTATACTTCAATATAGAGAGCTTGGCATATGGACTGATAGAGTGAGTATACTTCAATATAAGTAACGTATGATGGTGGAATTAATACACTTTTAACGCATAATTGCAGTCAGATAACCCCTGATGATACCAGTGAAGAATCCTATAATGATTCAGATCACGAGAATCTATCTGACTGACATGTTTTTCATGTACTGATAATTTAAATGATGTAATTTCTGTGGCTAGAGTGAGTTCATGACAAAATGAAATTATGTTCATTTAAATAAGTAACCCTGATATGAAAATTGAATGTGTGATGAGTGAAAATTAGTTAAAAATCTGCACAGTTAGAAATTAAAAATATAAAATTCCAATTCAGTACATGTTTTATTAATCACTTGATTCCTATTTTACTTGGTGTTTATTCTTGTTTGATATTTTTAAACGTAAATATGCGAGTTTTTTGTTTATGGCGGTAGTTTTATGTAGGGTTGATCGCGATCTTCAGTTTGTATCAAAAGCACGTCTCGCAAATGAAATATTTTGATAGCAATTAAACAAATTTCAATCGTTGGCGTATGTAAGGGCCGGATCACTTACTTTCAAGGGCTCAAAGTCCGGACGAACATTAAACAACAATGTTTTTATTTATCTGTTCTAGGTATGTTGTACAGACTTTTTGACTCCCATGTGCGAAGCACATAATGGGAGTCTTTGCAGTTAGCAGTGGAACAGTCGGACACACATACACACTATCTCAACCATACATCGGTTTTTGATGAAACTTGGTGCATAGATGCTCTGGGCCAATGCGCAGATTTGATTAGGTTTTGGTAAAAATCCATGCTCGTTAATTACCTAATTTGCATGATAATTAGCTGATTTTTAGCTGTTCTATGACTGATATCTAAAGAACCACTCATTGGATTTTGATGAAACTTAGTACATAGATGCTCTGAACATATGCGCAGATTTGATTAGTTTTTGGTAATAATCCGTGGATACTAATTACCTAATTTGCATAATGATTAGTCAATTTTCGGTTTTTCCACTGATATCTCAAGTACTAATCATCACATTTCAATGACACTGCACAGACCTGATAGTTTTTATGGTAATATCAATACATATAATTACCTAATTTGCATAATTAATTAAATTTCAGCTTTTGATATAAGTAGTGAGCATTACATTTCAATGAAACTTGGTACTTACATACTCAAGGACTATGCAGAGATTGATTGTTTCGGATAAATATTTGTGCATATTAATAACCTAATTTGCATAATTAGTTAATTTTCAGCTTTTTCACAGGAATCTCAAGTACTAATCATCGCATTTCAATGAAACTTGGTACATAGATCCTTTAGGACTATGCAGAGACCTGATTAGTTTTAGGGTAAATAATTGTGCATATTAATTACCTAATTTGCATAATTAATTTTCAGCTTTTCTACTGATATCTAAAGTACTAATCATTACATTTCAATGAATCTAGAATTATGCAGAGACGATTAGTTTTCGGTAAATATTTGTGCATATTAATCAATTTCCAACTTTCACACTGATATCTCAGGTACTAATCATCACATATCAATGAATGTTTGTACATGGATGCTGTAGAACAATAGACAGACGTGGATAATTGTGGGTTAAAATCTGTACATATTAATTACCTAATTTGCATAAATAACCAATTTTAAGCTTTCACACTGATATCTGAAGTACTAATTATTCCATTTCAATGAAACTTAGTACAAAGATGCTCTAGGGCAATGTACAAACCTAATTAGTTTGGGGTAAAAATCTGTTCATATTAATTCCCTAATTAGCATAATAATTCATAATTTTTTGGTTCTAATCACATTTCAATTAAACTTGGTACATAAATTTTTTGTTACATTGTGCAGACCTCATTTGTTTTACACTCAAATCTGTTCATATTAATTTTCAAATTATATTTAATGTGTCTCCAATACTCTCAGCACATGGGAGTTCTTTCTAAGCTTTCTTTGATTAGTTGTACTATTTTGATGATTTAATTTCAAGAATCTGTTGTTACTTTACTTGTCAGCGAAAATAGCGAAATTTGCCCATTGTGTCAGGAAGATCTATCCCGATTTGCTGCACTGAGGTTTTTACTACTCCATCGCTAATGACACTAATTACCAAGAATTAAAAAAAAACAAGTGAAATTAAGTCGCATTGGGAAAAAACCCACAAGAAAATCAAAGCAAAAATTATTCAACTGCTGACGAGACAAACCCTGACCTCTAGAAATACCTCATTCATAGTGCCCTTATCAAAATTATGTGTTGCCATATACAGTATGTCATAGATTCTCAGACATCTTGATCAATTTTATTGATGGATTGACCTACATGCAATATACCTTTATAATACATGCTCTGATCACACAGGAGCTATTTACAGTTTAACTTCTGCGAACCCCATTACTTTGAGGTACACATTATTTTTGCTACCACAATGTTCTTGGAGGACTGCAGAGCTATTTCAACTGTCAGGTCACTTGTCAAAAGGAAGGTCTGAGTGATATGAATATTAAATGTCTGTCTCACTATTCTTGTATTCCATCCATCCTGCTTACATTGGTTTCTTATGCTTGTTTCAGCATTATAAAGAGCAGAACACGTCAGAGTAATTTCCAGCTAGTTGTTATCACTCATGATGAAGACTTTGTAGAATTACTAGGAAGATCAGAATATGTTGAATATTTTTACAGAGTTCAGAAAAATCAGAAGTAAGTTGTACCAGGTTTGTCCACAAACACTGTCCCTGCATTCATTGTACCAACTCCTGAACGTAAATAAAAAATTATATTAATTTCATGTTATTGTTTAGATTTGTATTGCCCTTGTTCAAGACCTTTATTTGTGTGTCTCCACTTCAAGTTTTACAAATGATGATCATGAAACTGATTTTCCTCTTTCTTCATTTCAGTCAATTATCAACGATTACTAAAGCAAGTGTGAATTCCCTGTACCAAAACCTCAGCTAGGTCAGCACATAACTACACCTACTTATAAACAAACCTGTGCCTTTAAATTGAAATTTGTAATAGTGGACTATTCCTTTTGTATGAATGCATATTTTTTATGCAAACATGCTGGTAAAATTATGTGAAAGTGTCAACAATATTATTATTATTATTAGCACAAGTAAAACTAAATAATGTAAACTAATTTAACATCACCATGATTACTGTATCCCATTCCTTTAAGTGAAAATAAACAATCCAGTAACAATACAGTTTTTTTCTCATGGAATGAAAATGAATTTATTCAGATATACAAGTTGTACATAATTATACTGCCAACTTACATTAAGAACTGTAGGCAATGGGTAATAGTGATCCAGTTTTGGTTTAGTGCCGATGTATACAAGAAATGTTTGCTACAGTAATTTGAAAACATCACTCCGGATTATTTTATAAGTAACCAACTATTTTAATGCCTTGCAACCCCTAAGCATACCAGCTGCTCCAATATTGATATGTTTTCCTGAACTATCAACGCATTCATTTCTGCTGTGTTAAAGGAGTAAAAACCTTTGACCTTCCAGCCAATTTTTCCCTTTTATATATATACCGGTACATAACCTCTTGTCCAGAGGCTAATTGAATATAACCGAAATGCTGAGGGAGATTAATGTCACCGCCATCATGTCATACACTAGGTCACCCCCCCCCCCCCAACCTTTTCTGCGTAATTTCTTTGAGACAGAAATAAACAAGGCACAGAGGATCTTATGGTAGATGCTGTCAAGGACTGAATAAACTTTGATTATACTGCTTTTTTATATATTTTCCTTTTAATAAGAGTTTGTATGAAAAATGTACAATTCTTGACACATTGGTCATCATTGATGACAGACATGAAAACATACTACAAATGATCTTATTAAAGATTTACAGCCCCATCTATTCCTGCAGGGTTGGTACATTTGGTGGTAATAAGTTGTGTCTGTTATGAAACATGGCTGCATTTTCAAAGTTTGATGTGAATGTCTTTTTAGTTAATCGATAAGACAATGTGCAAAAATAAAAATATTTGATGTCCTGGGTGCAACTACAAGGGCCATCAGGGAGAGAAGGTTGCAAGAATATTGTAGTTTTCTATGGTGGCAGTGAGAAAGTCAACAAAACATGTACTGTAAAATGACTAATTTTCACTGGGTTTAAATTTCACTGATTTACCATTTCAGGCATATTCAGTGGGTTTTAAATTCACGGTTTCGTCATTTAGATAATGTGTCCTATGCTCAATTTTACATATTCACTGTGCTTTTATTTAGCGCATTTTTCCAGTCAGCGAAATAAGCTAAATTAAAACCCAGTGAATAATTACCCACTTTACAGTACTTCATGTTATGATTAACTCTCCAGTATCTCAAAGTTATCATCCAAGATATTAGTCGCTTCCTATAAAGTACTGGAAGAAAAACAAAATCCATCTGGGCACTGACGGGACTGTCAAATCGCCACACTTGTGAATTTCTCATGAATCAGGAACTAAAATAACAGTTTCCTCCTCCTCACTGCTACCTGCATCTGTTAGGGAAAATTACAAAACAATAGTGTATATACTGTGAAAGACTTTATTTTCACTAATTTTTGACAAGTTGAATGTAAAATATAGGAAAAAAGGTACATTCGCTGGATTTTATTTTCACTGAATTATTCCTTCAGCGAAAATAGCAAAATTTAAGTATTTTACAGTATACTGAACTCTCTTGCACGAGAGACTATAATACGGTGCTTTATATTGATGATGTTGTCTTATAAAACTTTGATATTCAGTGAGTGTTGAAACCGAATGTCGTCTTTATATCAATAAATAAGTAATTTCATCAAAACAATCCAGTCCCTATTGCAATTAAAGTAATATGGTCAAAAATGATTTTTTTTAAATTTGTTTTTCATCATTTTGATTTTTTTAATATGTACACTTAATACAACCTTTGGAAGATGTTCCCACAAATAAACATAGATGTGTATTATGTGACTGTACACGTGTATCATATACATCCAAAATGGCATCCAGTTTGCATGTGCACATGACCCCACATACAGGTAATGTACATGCACAAAATAACTGATTTGCTACAGAAGGTTCAGAAATATGACACCTAATGGACGGAAAGACAAGTCCCTGTATTGGGACTTTTTAAACCTAGCGATTATTTACTTAAGGTAGAGATGCAGTTTACCCGACAGGTATTTTAATTAGTTAATTAGGAAACCAAGATGACCTCCCTTTTTCGGAAAGCTTATTGTCTAAATTTTAAAATTTTGTTTTATGGACACTGTAGTATGAAATGTGCACAAAGATGTGCTTTTTTGGTCAAAAGTGATTTAAAAAAAATTAGCTTCTAAACCATGCTTATGGGTACATCTGTTTACTGTGAAGAAAGTGTCGTATTGAAAATTGTCTACCAGTTGTCAATTTTACAGGGCAGCAGCTCAAATTTCACTACTTCACGTTTATGCAGAAATTAACACTCAGGCTAGTTGTCTGTACGATTGTTGTAATACTGTTCAACCCAAAACAATGCCCCGATGGCATTTTGAAGATAAACACAATTTCAAAACAAAAGCGTCTAGGAGCTATTTTTTTCTGGGATTTGCACTAAAAAGAAGCTGAGATAATTGCTAATTTGCATAACAATTCACTCAGTAAGAAGTTTGCTGATGCTCGTAATTAAAATGGCTGTAACAGTTCCAAATTTGAATGTATTATCGTTTTGTTAAAAGTTAAATATAGTGCATAATATGGGGATTCAGACGTGTCTTTCTGACTCCTGTGTGCAAAGCACAAAAAGGCAGTCTTTGCAGTTAGTGTGTGTGTGTGTGTGTGTGTGTTCCACTGATATCTCAAGAACCATACATTGATTTTTGATGAAACTTGGTGCATAGATGCTCTGGGCCAATGCTCAGATTTAATTCAGTTTTGGTAAAAATCCATGCATATTAATTACCTAATTTGCATGATAATTAGCTGATTTTTAGCTGTTCCATGATTGTTCCACTAATATCTAAAGAACCACTCATTGGATTTTGATGAAACTTGGCACATAGATGCTCTGAACTAATGCGCACATTTGGGTATGATCTGTGCAATATTAATTACCTAATTTGCAGTTTTTGATATTTCAAGTAGTAATCACATTTCAATAAAACTTGGTACATAGATGTCATAGGACATTGCACAGACCTGGTAGTTTTCAGTGTAATATCAGTACATATTAATTACCTAATTTGCATAATTAATTAATTTTCAGCTTTTGATATTTCAAGTAGTAATCATCACATTTCAGTGAAACTTGATACATAGTTACTTAAGGACTGCCGAGACCTGATTACTTTTGGGGTAAATATTTGTGCATATTAATCACCTTATTAGCATAATTAGTTAATTTTCAGCTATTCGCCTGATCATCATATTTCAATGAGAGGTAAATAATTGTGGATATTAATTACCTAATTCACATAATTAGTTAATTTTTGCCATGAATATTCATGAACTGATATATTAAGAACCACTAATTGGATTTGAATGAAACTTTTATAGAGTATTCATCATCACATTTCAATGAACCTAGGACTATGCAGAGACCCAATTAGTTTTTGGTAAATATTTATATTAATTAACACTGATATCTCAAATTACTGATTATCACAATGGAATAAAATTTGGTACATAAATGCCCTAGAACATTAGACAGGCCCGATTAATTTTGGGTTGAAATTTGTTCATATTAATTCTCTAATAATAATCATAGTTTTTTTGTTCTAATCACATTTCAATGAAACTTGGTACATAGATATTACATTACGCTCAAATCTGTTACCTGATTTACATAATTATTTTTCAGCTATTCCATAAATATCTCAAGTACAAGTAATCTTGAATTAATTTTTAATGTGTCTTCAATACTCTCAGCACACGGAAGTTCTTTCTAAGCTTTTTTTGATTCATTATTTATGTACAGCCTTGCTAAATCTTGATAAGCATTCAAAAGAGAGAATGTTTGAATTTGTTATCTATATTTTAAAATCGTTTTTGAGTATGTTCCACTATTCACAATTCTACAAAATTTTAACAGTCTATAGCCAAGACTGTTTGGATAATAAAAAGCAAAAAAAAAAACAAAAACAAAAAAATTTCAGTGCCCACAAACCTGCATCTCTACCTTAATTCCTTGTATTTGCAACTCTGAACAAGTTTTTATGACATACCTTTGACTTTTTTGGCAGCATGTTTTTTTTTCTTCTTCCTTTTCTGTTGGACAGGTTTTACTCCTTGCACGTCATCTACCAGCCAAGTATTATGGCCACCTTCCCCGACTTGAACCGTACCTTTGCCGAGCACCACTAAAGATTCTGCTCTGTGAATGTTAAGTTCTTTTTCACCAAAGACAGGAAATTAAACTTTTTATTATTATTTCTTCTGTACAATTATATTTTATAATGTTATATTAAAAGAACAGTTTTGTTGTAATTGTAGATTTGCATTCTGTTACCATGGATACCAAAATAATGTGATCATACAAACCATTCTTTGCAGGACAATATCTCTTGAAACATTCGTAGTAGGGTTTGTTTTGACTGCAGCACTTTCAATCCCAACAGCCAAGCACCACAATTTGTTTTCCAATACCCCAATACCGGTAAATAGAAATTCAATTTAATATGGCTGATATCATGAAAAGTTGTCATCTATATTCTAATCATAACTGGTAACTGTTCACTGATATTTCTGAATCGTCTTGCAGATGGTGCTCTGTGGACATTTTGTGGGCAATGTTTCTCAGATTTGAAGCAAGGGAATTGCATGAAATATTAAAATTGCATATTTTTTTTAATCCTGAGTATACAATTTAATTTTGAAATTCAACATCCCGTCAAATATAGAGGGATTTTGGAACACTGCTAAGAAATCTTTCAAAGCATACTGCAATGTTACAAGGGAAATTGATTTATATGTATACATTTATGTATGTACCATAATTGCAAGACACAAAATCTAAAATTAAGATAGCAGCCAGTAATAAGCGTGATTCGTATCAATTACATCACCATCACAAAAAACTTTCTACAATAAAGATAGACTTAAGGTTTGTTTAAATTGGTGTACCTTGTCTATTAATGCATACTTTCATTAGAGTAGCAAGCTCAAATTGATTGCAATGAGCACATTAGGCACATCTTGATGTGTATATATCACTACACAATTCTGGGTTATGACAGCGCATCATAAATAAAGGATACTGATCTTTGCTGTCTTCTGTTTCATCCAGTGTTATTTCTGGTATTTCTACCTTGTCGCTTACATCCACTTCAGTAACATCCCTCTTAAGATAAGTAACTTTTTGTTGTCTCTGAGTTTCTGCAAATCCACACTTGTTTCCAGATGCCCTATAAACAATAATAAAGTTAGTAAAAGTGATTTTGTGCATCATAAAAATATGTCAATTGCATTGGCAAAAGAGTTGTAGGTCTAAATGGTTTACAGCAAGTCTTGGAAGTATTGGGGCAGCCAATTTGCAAAAATGCGGTCAATTATACTAGCGAAATCATTTGGCTGTCAAAGTTTATTTTCTCTCTGATTTGTAAAATGTAAAATGTGAAAGCATTATATGTTCCCTACTGCGATATAGATTCATCCAGAGTGGACGCAGCCACAAGTCGATGGCAGCAAGATTTGAGCCAGTGTTCTATACACTGTTATTTACTGTGTAATGATATGACAAATATTTTCAAATAACAAAAAAAGTCAGAAAATATTGTAGCAGTGAACTACGGTCCTGAAGTCACAGTGACTTTCCCCACAATACTGAAGTCAGTGTAAGTCAAGTTAAGTTAAAATGTCATAACAAATCACCCTTGAATATTTCATAGTAGACATTACCTTGCTTTTCTGTCATTTTCCAAAGCTTTTTTTATAAGATCTGTTAATTCTGACACTTTGACAATTGCAGTCTGTGTACACCTAATAATCTACAAGTAAAAGTTTAATAATAATTTACTAATATTACATATGCATGTACAAGTTGTCTTCTGACTCATGGACAATATTACAGTGGTCCTAACATAAGCATCTGTATATGAAGGTGTGGTTTATAATAGTACAGTGTATACCTGGTCTTTTACAAGCAGCATATCACCACTCATGTGTGCTGTACATAATTCTCTGTGAATATTCATGCTTAGAATCATGCTACCATCCATAACACACTCTTCCCGTTCAGTTGGGTCTACCAATAAATATTTCCTGAAACAAGAAATCAGAAATGGTTAGTTTCGTATAAAAATTGTTCTTCCATTTGTCCTGGCACCATTTTGGCACCATGTGACAGAGTGTGGAGTTTTGACTTTTTTCACCTTCCACAAATACCATATTTGCTCTATTAATAAACTATGCAATTAGGTCAAGGAAGCGGTGTATCTGCAAGTCACAATTCAGTGTACAGCAAATAAGATAGGTTGGCTTCAATTCTTGTGTTGCCATAACAACTGTTAGTATTGCAGCGATGGATACAAGTAAATGTGGCCACAGTGTGCATCTTCATAACGCGTTGTCTGATTGACAACCCAAATAATCTCAATTTATCTAACATAAAATAACATGCATGTACTTGTATTGGAACAGTATTGTTTATACCCACTTTCACAACATGACTATTCCAGTAGTTGAAAACAAGAAAGAAATTGGAAGGTTTCATCTGCATGTTTACACTGTCAGTGTAAATAAGTTAGGTAGTTGCAAAGTATTGTGGGTAAACTTACCCTTCATCAAAATATGCAAATGTGACACTAACAGGAAGATGGTGTACACTGAGTGAAACAGGATCCCGGTCTGCTGCTGAATGCTGTCAAGGTAACATTGTAAACCAAAAAAAAATTTATTCTAAATAAATTTCAAGCTTTTCACAAGTAAGAGGAAAATCCATTCAAGAGTTCCTTGCAGTTAGAACATCGAAAGCATCTCTGCTAAACAGTGACATTATTTTACTACAAATTGTTGAGTTATTCCTATAGCAAAACTCGTCCCAATGATGGTACCACACATGCACATACAGACACAAATAAGACTTGTTTCTGGTCAACTTTAGTCAGTTCAAAATCAAATAAAAAAAAACAAGTCATTGAAAATGACACAGTCCCCGTTAAATTTTTGAAAGGTCTCTTTGTGCTCATATTAAAGCGGAGGGGTTGTCACGTGCATGTTCTTGAAACTTGAGTCCCAAGTGGCATATACAACAGATTATTTATTTACATCAAAACACGTGTTGCGTGATGACCTCTCCGGTTTAAGACGGCAAAGAAAAACAGATCAAAAGTGAAAGCATGTCCAAGTTATCACATTTTAAACAAACAAGATGGCCGCCAGGTGGCCATATTTGATCAAATTGCAAATTGCAAAATCCATTTATGACATGCTAAATATCAATGAAAATGATACATGGGTGACAGAGATATAGTAATATTGCCACAAATAAAAACAGCCGTTATTCAGCCATCTTTCAAAAAACAAGATGACTGCCAGTCGGCCATTTTGAATCAAATCGCTAAACCACTGCATGTGCATATGTCCCACATAAAGTACTAGGCACATGCAAAGAATGAACAGAGTCGGTCCAAAGAATTCTGAGATACGACTCCGGACAGACGCACAGAGGGACGGAGACCGAATTATAAGTCACGTTTTCAGACGTCGTTCGAACGGGGACTAATAAAAATAAAACAAGTCATTGTTAATGACACAGTCCTCGTCCAAAATTTTGTGATCTGATATATCAATTTGATGCTGATGAAGTCAATGAGGTTAGATTGAAACCATTAATAGGAGATGAATTTGTAAAAAATATGATTTAGTGCTTTTACACACGAAAACCACGTGAAATGGGAAAATTATGACGCTTAGTGGAGTTACGATAATTTATTAAAGATGGCGGCAAACACGAGGGTTTCGCTGTAGTTTTCTGCGGTTTTCGTCTTGCAATCGACCAATTTCAGACCATCGCCCTCAAAATAATTGATGAAATAGTTTCGGGACCCATCAACATTAGAAAGGTAGAAACTTAAAGCTAAAATAATGAAAAAAAACCGGCTGTTACGATCTGACCTGATTCTAGTTCGGTAAAATAGGGTAACTTGAAAAGGATGGAACTGTAGCTCCATGGTTTCGCGTTAACACCACGACGAACAAAATAACCGACAGCGAAGCTACAGAACTGCAGCTAGGTTTCGTTCAACACAATGGCAACAGCAGACTGCAACCTCTGCGGTTGATCCACACAACCACAACTTTCAGAAAAGATTTCTGCCAGTCACTAAATTCCATGCAAACACGATTTCGTCTGTCCTAAGAGTTCCACAACATCCATAACCACTTTAGTTGAGTCTTTGGAAAGAATTCAGTCGATTTAACAGGAGAATCGACCTGCCCATACAGACGGAAACAATTTGACTGACCGACACAGAGATGCACAGACTTATTCATAAACAAAGTTATTCCTACACTATACTATAGATGGCGCTCTCACTATAGACCGCCACAGTAGAGTTTTGGAGGCTAATTTGCATACATTTTGGCAGATCGACTTCTCATGAACAAATTACCATCTACACTCATCAAGGCATCCACACACCAAAAATCGAGTCAAACGGTTTGGCGGTTTTTGAGAAGAAGTAGTGCACAGACAGCTAGATAGACGCAGGACAGAAACCCATCCCATCGGCTCAGCGGACCTTTGGTCCGTTGAGCCAAAAATGATGATTTATAGTGCTTTTACATAAAAATTGGGCGTCAGCTAGCAATAGTGAATTGAATCACAAAAATAATGTTGGTGCAGGTGTATCTCTTGGCATACTACCTTCGTACTACCTTGCATTCAAGAGAAAGTAGCATGGGTACCATGAAAAACAAAATGGCCGCCAGTCAGACATATTTGTTCGAATCACGAAAAAAATATGACGTGCACCTAGAACCCAATATGTATGATCAACATATCAACTTTGATCTAAATTGGCCTAGTCATCTCTGAGAAACAGCTTCGGACATGTAAAAAATTACGATTTAACGCTTTTACAGGAAATGTGGGCGTCTGCCAGCCATATTGAATTGAATTACAAAAATCATGTTGGTGCAGATGTATCGCTTGATATACTATCTTTGTACAAAATTTGAACAGAAACATTCATTGCATTCAAGATAAAGTAGCATGGGTACCACGAAAAACAAGATGGCCGCCAGTCATGCATATTTGTTCAAATCACGAAAAAAAAATGATGTGCACCTACAACCAAATATGTATGATCATCATTTGATCCAAATCGGCCCAGTCATCTCTGAGAAACTGCTGTGGACACGTTTAGGTATCAGAAATAGCAAATTTTACATCCAAAATAAAGTAACTTGACGTGCATATGTAAGACATTATGTATTGTCTTCATGTAAAGTTTGAATGAAATCCGTCAATGGGTGTCCGAGATATAGCTCCGGCCGGACGGACAGACGGACGGAACGAACCCAAATTAATAGTCCCCGTTTTCAGACTTCGTCCAAAATAGGACAAATAAAAAAACAGCAAAAAAAACAGAACCGAAAATAGACTTACTACTTGTACGTCTTCTCCCACAACACTGACGTCAGGACGGCGAAAATGCGACAGTGCTGTAACTGCTGCCATGGTAACACAATCCATAATATTACCATCATGATTTAATACATGTATATCTATTCTTATTTCCCATACCTGAAATAATCAAAGAACTGATCTCAAAACAAGACTGACTGCAGTTGACTCAATACACTACCACAAGATTGTGCTCTCTAAGCAGATAATACACTATTGATACTTGACTTGAGATTAGCTGTGACAATTAGTTTTACTAATTCACTGACACGTCTTTGATGCAACAGAAAATCACAAATTAATACAGTGATTTTGAAAAAAACATCTTACTATTGTTATTGAAATTCACATACATACAAGGGAAACTGATCAGAGTCATCCATACACTTATTTACAATTTTTGGCGACTAACCTCCCTAACAGTCAACATGCTGACAATGTGATTTGGGTGGGGGGGGGGGGGTCTAATTTGACTCAGGATCCCTACAAAAGCAGTCCTTCTAGAAGGTGCACTGCACAAAAATATGACCAAACTTAATGCTGTTTTTTTTATAAATATAGAATATAAGCATGTTGGTAGGATGGATTAACATAACTTACCTTTTCTCCTGCTACAATACACAAGGATTCTGTATCAATAGCTCGGGAATCTCGTACAGTCTTCTCTAAAAAACGGATTATCTCAATTCCAAACTCAGATTGTCTGAGCAAAAAATCAAATAAATCAAATAATTACATATAGACTATGCAAGAGTTCTCAAGTATAAGGAATATAATATATAAACCTTGAACATGAACAGATACAATGTATGTATAACTGCATTCACTAAAACAAAATGACCACCAGTCAGCCATTTTAAGTCTGATTAGACAAACAAAGTGACATGTAATAAGGTCCCATAAAGTTCAATGTGTATAAACAAGATCGAGACGCTGAATTGCGGAAATGCTTGATTTTGATGAATTTAAAACAATCGCAATTCAGCCATTTGCAATCTGTTAATCAAATGAATAACAATGCATATTTGTGACATGACGTATGTCTGATGTATAAGTAGAG